TGCAGAGCCTATGGGCAGGACAGGAATAAAGACGCAGATGTAGAGAATGGACTTGAGGACATGGGGAGGGGGAAGGGGAAGCTGGGATGAAGTGAGAGAGTGGCATGGACTTATATATACACTACCAACTGTAAAATAGCTAGTGGGAAGCAGCCGCATAGCACAGGGAGATCAGCTCCGGGCTTTGTGACCACCTAGAGGGGTGGGATAGGGAGGGTGGGAGGGAGACACAAGAGGGAGGGGATATGGGGATGTATGTATATGTATAGCTGATTCACTTTGTTGTAAAGCAGAAACTAACACACCATTGTAAAGCAATTATACTCCAATAAAGATGTAAAAATAAAATAAAAATAATAAAACATTTTTTTAAAAGATTAAAGTTTATCAGAGTAAGCCTAATCTAATCACACTAACCCTTTTAAAAGCAGAGTTTTCTTTGGTGGCAGAAAACAAAGTCAGAGATTAGAATCTTGAGAGGACTGGACACACCGTTGCTGGCTTTTGAGGTGGGGGAGGATGTAATGAGAAATGGGGCAGCCTCTATCTAGATGGGAGAGCAGCCAGCCAACGATCAGGAAATGAGGGCTTCTGTTCTATAACACAGGAACTGAATTCTGCCAACAGCCTTGGAAATGGATTCTTCCTCTGATACTCCAAGTAAGAGCCTAGCTGGCCAGCACCTTAATCTCAGCCTTGGGAGACCCTAAGCAGAGAACTCAGCTGAGCCCAGACAGAATCCATCTGCAGAAGCTAACAAATCTATGTTGCTTTACACCACTATGTTGTGATAACTCTTTATGCAGCAATAGAAAACCAATACAGGGATTGGTTGGGGGTCCACTTGGGGGTCCACTTGGGGGTCCAGTGGTTAAGACTTTGCCTTCCAATGCAGGGGGTGAGGGTTTGATCCCTGGTCCGGGAGCTAAGATCCCATATGCCTCGTGGCCAGAAAAACCAAAACATAAAACAGAAGCAATATTGTAACAAATTTAATAAAAATCTTAAAAATGGTCCACATCAAAAACTCTAAAAAAAAAAATACATAACTCATAAAAAACAGTTTTCATTACTCATCATACCCACATGGGGTCTTGATCCCCTCTTCAGTACCTTCCTTGACAAGTACAGCCAAAATACCTTACCCAGACTGGTAACAGTAGTCATAAAATCTGATTAAAGTCAGAAGTGTCCTGCCAGGATCTTATCAAAGTTGTACTTTGTTTATAAACTTATCTCTAAAATTATCCTTTGAAGATTAAAGGTAATTATTACAATTATTTTTATTATAAACTCCTCCTTGCTGACCTCCTAGGGGTGGAGAGGAATTACAACAAACATAGTAAGACACAGATTAGGCCAAAAAGTTGGGCAATGAGAAAAGTTAAGAAAACCTATTCAACCAAGACAGGAGCTTGCTCAGCAAGGTTGTGGAAGCCAAGAGGTCAGCTGATCCTGGGAGAGCCCTTGTTTCAGTCTTCTGGACAAAGGAATCTATCCTGACCTGAGGCTGGCCACTGGCGAGATCCCAGCGATAAACCCCAAGGAAGATGCTTCACTCCCAATGTTGCTTCCCTGCTGCTCTGAATGGGACTCTGCCTCGTAATAACTGGCTCTTCTTTACTAAATCTGTAGTCTTGAACCCTGCTGAGAGCAACTTTTAGAAGGACAGGCATTTGTTCACACTAAGTGGGTAGTCTGTTAGCCACTTGCCCCAAACTGAGGTCAGCCTGTTCCCTAAGAGATTCACACAGCGATTTCATCATAGATGCTCGCTCTAATCTTCTCAGCCTTGTGGGAAAATCCTCCCCAATAGGTCATTGTCAGCCCTTATTTGCCTTTCCTCTGCCTCAGATTCTCCAGAGAGGAGCTAGCCATGAATGTCCTGGTGCTCAGGCAGGAGCTCGCCATTGTGCTCACATGAGTCATTCAGGCTGAGCAATTATAAATTAGCAGAGGAGTGAACAGCAGTGTGTCCTGGAAACCCTTCTTCTAACTTGCTTTTAGTAATCTGAGGGATACTAATGTCAGCTAATTATTCGAAGAAAGAAGAACTTCAGGATAACTATTTTAAAACCAAAAACCAAAGGTGTCACTTTGAGTAAATATTCCTCAACTTTCAGTTGTACTATAACTACATTTCCCATACAAACTTAACTTTTAACTCTTGAGATTTTGTTGTTTTATATACAGTTAAAGCCAACGTAAAAGTTTTGGAATAAAAATGAAAAAATTTAGCTTAATTTCACTTAATGCACGGAATTAATATGAAGAAATTCTATCTTCCTTTACCGTCCCTTTTCCTCTACCCCATATCCAGCCCATTAGATAATCTGTTGAATTCATTTTCAGAATATATCTAGAATCCTACCATTTTTACCATCCCCACTGCCACCTTCCTGATGCAAGCCTGCCTCATCTCTCACCTGTAGAATTACAGTAGCTTTAACTGGTCTGGGTTCCCTAGAGCCTGCTCTACTCTGCAGTCAGAGTGATGATGTCATATAACATCCCTCCTGTGTTCAAACTCCTCCAGCGTTACCCCGCCTCACTCGGAGCAAAAGCCAAAGTCTATACAATCTGGACCTTTACTCAAAAGTAACCTCAGTGAAGCCTTCCTTGGTCACCCTACTGACAGTGCTTACTCCCTCCCCCACCAGTTGTTCATAATCTCATCCCTACTTTGTGATTTTTTCTGACCTAACATACCACACTTTATATCTGTCAAATTACCACCCACGTAAGCTCCAAGTGGGACATAACCTTCGTGAAGGCGAGGAATTTTGTTCCCTACCCTATCCTGAAGCTCTAGAACATGCTTGCCACATAGCATGTGCTGAAAAATATCAGTTGGATTGGTGGACGAATGCATGCAAGGATGGATGGTTGGAAACGGAAACGAAACAGCTTAATTGGTAGTAACACCAAGCACTGCCACAAGATGGAGACCTTCCTTAATAGAAGTTTATCCCCACTTTTCCCTTCTGTTTCTATTTGCATTTTTTCCCCTCTGTATTTGCATAGGTGCCTCTTTTACCTACAGACTTGCCTGGGTTTCTCTCTAGCTGTTTGTGTGTGTGCGCGTTCATGTGCATCCTCTCTTCTCTTTTGGATTTTGTGTCTTTTCTTGTATATTTGTATACTTTTTCTCTGTATACATAGTCTCCACTTGCAGGATGGGGGAAACAACTTAGAACTGAAACAGATACCTCATTTTTGGAGAGACCTTCAAGATGGCGGAAGAGCAAGACGCGGAGATCACCTTCCTCCCCACAAATAAAACAGAAATACATCTACTTGTGGAACAACTCCTACAGAACACCTACAGAACGCTGGCAGAAGACCTCAGACCTCCCAAAAGGCAAGAAACACCCCCACGTACCTGGGTAGGGTAAAAAAAAAGAATAAACAGAGACAAAAGGATAGGGACGGGACCTGCACCAGTGGGAGGGAGCTGTGAAGGAGGAAAAGTTTCCACACACTAGGAAGCCCGTTCACTGGTGGAGACGGGGGGCGGGAGGGGTGATGGGAGGGAAGCTTCAGAGCCACAGAGGAGAGCACAGCAACAGGGTTGCAGAGGGCAAAGCGGAGAGATTCCTGCACAGAGGAACAGTGCCGACCAGCACTCACCAGCTCGAGAGGCTTGTCTGCTCACCCGCCGGCCGGGATGGGTGGGGGCTGGGAGCTGAGGCTCCAAATTCGGAGGTCAGGTCCCAGGGAGAGCACTGGGGTTGGCTGCATGAACTCAGCCTGAAGGGGCTAGTGTGCCACAGCTAGCTGGGAGGGAGTCCGGGAAAAAGTCTGGACCTGCCTAAGAGGCAAGAGACCATTGTTTCGGGTGTGCGAAGAGAGGTGTCCATCGACAGATGAATGGATAAAGAATATGTGGCACATATATACAGTGGAATATTACTCAGCCATAAAAAGAAACGAAATTGAGTTATCTGTAGTGAGGTGGATGGATCTAGAGTCTGTCATACAGAGTGAAGTAAGTCAGAAAGAGAAAAACAAATACCGTATGCTAACACATATATATGGAATCTAAAAAAAAAAAAAATGGCCATGAAGAACCTAGGGGCAAGACTGGAATAAAGACACAGACCTATTAGAGAATGGACTTGAGGATACGGGGAGGGGGAAGGGTAAGCTGAGACAAAGTGAGAGAGCAGCATGGACGTATATACACTACCAAACGTAAAACAGATAGCTACTGGGAAGCAGCCGCATGGCACAGGGAGATCAGCTCGGTGCTTTGTGACCACCTAGAGGGTTGGAATAGGGAGGGTGGGAGGGAGGGAGACACAAGAGGGAAGAGAAATGGGGACACATGTATATGTATAACTGATTCACTTTGTTATAAAGCAGAAACTAACACACCATTGTAAAGCAATTATACTCCAATAAAGATGTTAAAAAATAATTTAAAAAAAAAACCATTGGAAAAAAAAAAAAGAATCCGCCTGCCAATGCAGGGGACACGGGTTCGAGCCCTGGTCCAGGAAGATTCCACGTTCCGCGGAGCAACGAAGCCCGTGCGCCACAACTACTGAGCCTGCGCTCTAGAGCCCATGAGCCACAGCTACTGAAGCCCGTGTGCCTAGAGCCCGTGCTCTGCAACGAGAAGCCACCGCAGTGAGAAGCCCGTGCACCGCAACTAGAGAAAGCCCGCATGCAGCAACAAAGCCCCAACACAGCCAAAAATAAATAAATAAAATAAAAAAATAATTTTAAAAAAAAGCATTGCTTGGGGGGCAATGGGGAGTTAAGGATTAGGAGTAAAAATTGAGACTGTCAGGAAAGAGGTGTGTTCGGGTGTGTGTGAAGGTTTGGACTGAGTGACATAGGTCAGATCACAGTGATTCTTATAGATGTTATCTCATATCTCATACCTCCTCTGACATGTGCTACTTTGGGTGAAGAAAGAACCCCTTAGAAGAATGAATAGGATTTTTTTCCCCTGAAGTACAAGTAATTACCCACACACTTAAGTATCAGCCCTTTAATTCTGCAATGTCTGGGGAATGTTGGGGAGGGGAGCCGTCCAAGGACTCCAACTTTTTCAGGTTTGTAGGAAAATGGCTTGGTAAGGCCTGAAAAATCAAAGCAAAACTTTGAGTAGAAAGAGACCAGTCAGGATTGATGAGGAGATGGACGTCACCTGGGGTGTCCCATTGCTTTCTACACAATATGTATGGAGTTTTATGTTATTCAATAAATTTGTATTCTTCAAGTTGCAGGCAGTTTCAGTAGCACAGCCCATGGCAAAAACTGCAAGAAAAGGACCAACTGCCAAGAGAAAGATCCAAGAATTAGTCTTCTCTCATCTTTCTCACCTCCTCACCTACATCCTATGCTATCTGCCTTCCTTGAGGAAGAAAATGGTGCTCAGAGTGCCCCGGAATCTGTGGTTTCTGTCCTCTGTGAGAGAAGCAACAACCACAGCTCTAGCTCTGTTCAGGGACCAAGACTTGTTTCCCTCTGACCCCAACATCTTCCCAGTTTAGGAAGGACCCCGAAGGACCCCTGCAGTCTCAGACACACGGCTAAGACTGGAGCCCCTGTGTCCTGACTAGGGGAGAGATGGTTGATCTAGGGAAGAAGGCTGAGGTCAGAACTCATGTATTCAACTAAAATGTCCCTGTGGTGCCTGTTTTCTTCCTTACCTTTGCCTCCTTGAGTAAACAAGAGGGAAGAAATACAGATCCCCCTTGGGATCAGATTCCTTCTCCCCAGGGCTATGAATTTAATGGGATGCTAGCACTGTGGAACCTCATTGCATGTCTATGCTTTCCATGACAAGTTGGAGTAGACAGACTGCCCCATTATCAAAGCCCCAGCCCTCCCTTGTGTCCTTTGTGATATCCCATTTTCCTCACTCATCTCCAATTCATCTGATAGCCCTAGGTCCTCCTTCAAAATCTTCTCAAAAAAAGAAAAGGCATAACTTGCCTCCATTCCCACCACATTCACTCTCCCATCATTTAATCATCTCCTAAAATACCACTAATTTCATGAAACCTTTTGTAAGTTGTTCAGAAAAGACCTGATGGTGCCCCTTCTAGCTGTACAGTCCAATACTATGGTTATTCTCCCAATTCTTATCTGAATGGTACATTTGCTCTTTATCACAAATACATACTTTTATCCTACTCAGGAAAATTACAAATCCTTTTACAGATTTCAGAATGACACCATGTAAAAATTAAGTGTTTGATTATGGTTGTTTGGTAATAGCCATAATGGTAGTGATGTTGAAAAGCCAGAACTGAAGTGTCACCCTCTTCATTGCCAAAGAGTCAAGGCCCAATTCCAGGAGGTCATGATATGACATATTCCCAAGTCTCAGACTCTACTATGGGAAACAGTTGTGTTATCCTCTCCTCTCCTGACAGATGGCTTCCTCCAAACCCTGAAGGGATAACCAGCACTTGCCCCTGTACCAGTCCTTGCTGTCTATGGTATTTAGCCTCTAGGATGGCCCCCAATGTTTTCCATTTCCTGGTATTCACGCCCTTGTGTAGTTTCCTCCATTGCTGTATCAGGGTTAGTCTGTGAAACCAGCAAGATACAGCAGAAGTGATGATAATGTCACTTCTGAGATTAGACTACTTAAAAACTGCACTTTTGCCCACCCTCTCTCCCCTTCTTCCTCCTTTTCCTCCTTCTTCCTCCTCCTCTGCATTCCCCTCCTTTTCCTTCTTCTTTTCCTTTTTCAAACGATTGTTTTGTTTTAGGCTGCCAAGTTTTGGAGTAATTTGTTACACGGCAATAGATATTTAATACAATATAACATTTAAGAAGAGGAACACCAAAACACCTGGCAAAATATCCATACCTTGGCCAATAACGGTGAGACATTTTGTCTCTGCACCAGTACAGGTGAGTAAAACTGGTTCACAGGAAATGTCATTCTCATTGAAGCATGCAGGACATTTAATGCCATTGGGGTTTGGGGATTTCTGAGGCACTGAATGAAGAGAAAATTTTCGTCTTAAAGAATAAGTTTTAAAAAGAGCTGAAAACATTAGCCCCTCTCCTTGAGTCATGGTTATTCAAGGATTCCTCCCCCCCAAAATCAAAATTATTTACAACTCAGATGGCATGGAGGGTGCAGGGGAGGTAGGTATTAAGTGGGAAGATGTAGCCAAAAGGATCTTCTAGTAATTTGATGTTATCTGTTCTTCTCTGCCTTGGCTGGAGAAAAGTGCTCAGATAATGGAGAGAAGATAAGCTATGGTCTAAAAAGTACTGTTAAGGGAGTGAGGAATTAAACAGGTGAGGAAAGACAACTTTTCAGCTGGAATGGGAAAGTAAGTAATTTAACCTCTGATCACACTTAGAGTAAATCCCCAAGACCAGTTCCAGCCACCTAACTGTCATTCAGTCTCCTGTGCAGGAGAAGGGCTTGTATCCATCCCTTCACAGGGAGGAAAGGCAATCAGTGAGCAAAATCACTGAGCAGCTCAGAAGCAGAGAGACATGTCACAGGAAGGTATTTGGAAGGCAGAGACTTAAGTAAGGCAATGAATTGGGAACAGGGTTGGGAAGGGAGAGAGAGTAGAGATGTGTTGGCACTCACCTTGTAATTCCCCTTGGTTACACAGCTCATCTTGGCAGCACTGGCGCTTGTACCCAAATGTTTGATTATCCCCCAGTGATGCTGACAAGACCAGTGGGACACACAAACTTGAAGAACAGCCTTTCTCCTCAAAAAATTGTAAGAGCTGCCCTGTAAAGAACCAATCACAGAGGGAATTTTCCCTCTGAACCATAGAGAGAGTGATGCCCAAATGGGCAGCAAGTATTAAAGAATTCTGTGCCTCCAATCACTTTGTTTTTAGTCTTTTCACTTCTTCAAGGGTCTTTCTGCATTGGTCCATGGAACAAAACGTGGAGGGATGATTTGTTAGTGTAACCGAACAGGACCCTGTGGAGCCTTCCTGGGACAAATCCCTCCCCTATAACCTCTGCTGTAGCTCCTCTTGGAAGTGCCCAGATAATAGTATCTCATACATATTTCCTGAGTTTTTCAGATGCTAAAAAACATTACCAAGTGGAAGAAATTAATTACTTGATGATCATGAGCACATAGCACCCAGACCTTCTGGCACCAAAAGATTGATAACATTAATCACCCTGTTACCTCAACATCAACCAATCAGAGAATTGTGCATGAGCTGATCACATACCTCACGGATGCCCCTCCCTCACTGGGCCTTTAAAAATATTTTGCTGAAACTTTCTTAGAGTTCAAAGTGTTTTGAGCACAAGCCGCCATCCCTCTTGCATAGCCCTGCAATAAACTTTCCTCTGCTCCAAACTCTGACATTTCAGTTTTTGTGACTTCACTGTGTGTCAGGCACATGAACTTGCACGGGGTAACATTAGCATTTGTTAGAATGGGAGTGTCATATCCCAGTGAGGTTCATGATGAACCGGGATGGTCTATCCTTTTTCCTGGAGCCTCCCTCCCTGCCACCTCACACCCGCCCCACACTTCCAGCCCCATCCTGGTAGGGCATGGCATAAGGAAGCAAGGTAAAATAGAAGATTCACAGGAGTAGCAAAGAAAAACAAAGCCTGACTCCATATTGGATCTATTCCTTTAGCTCTAACCTTTGTGCTCTGTTTCCTGTGTTCAGTCATGCTGGCTCTGCACCTTTTGTAAAAGAATGTCACCTATAGCCTGAAATATATATGATAGCCCACTCTGAAGGCCTCCCAGGCTTGACCTTTAAAGGTATAAACACTTTTCCATTCACCTAGAGATAAAAAGTTACAGAACAGAAAATAACATTTGTCTTGTTGGAGGTTTACAGGAGCATGTCACGAGACCTACACGGACAGCTGCAGGAACAAAGGATCATCATATCCACTCCAGAATCTGGCCGGCACCAAGAAGTTTGCAACTACCAGCTACACCCCCTCCCCTTTTAGTATAAAAGAAGCCTGAATTCTAACTTGGGTAAGATGGTTTTGGGGAACACTAGTCCCCATCTTCTGCTGGCTTTCCAAATAAAATCATCATTCCTTGCCCAACACCTAGTCTCCCGATTTATCAGCCTGTCATGTGGTGAGCAGTATGTTTGAACTCTGTTACACAGGGAAGTGAGAAGCTCCATCAAGCTGGGGAACACAGCAACCTCCCTCACTCTAAACACCTTCCTTGTCTGTCCCACATGCCTAGCAGCATGGGCAGGGGCCTGGCACAGCATACCTGATGTCCGCAATTCTTGCTTGTAGCTGAAGCAGCTTTGAGACGTTTCACAAGTTGTCTGTGGGTCGGTACTACATGTATAAATAGAGCAGTTTACACATTGGTAACTCTCTACGAAAAAGAAATTTAAGTTGTTCAGAAAGTAATCCAGGAATGAAAACTGTCAAGAATCATAATTGATGCTTCCAATAGCCAAACATTCCTGAGAGTCAAAGTGCCATGAAACCTGTTCCCTGTGGGGCTGGATGCCTGCCTTCCTTCACTCAGTCCACAGCTCTTCCCCAGGGCCACAAAAGACCCCACTCATACTGAGCCACCACCCTCTGCACAGGCTCAGGCCCTCTCAGCTGCCCATGGCCTGGGATGCTAATTAGGGTCTCCATCTCTGAAGTGTTCATCACTGCACTTGGAGCTGAACCTGGTCTCTCCTAAGTGGGCATTCCTCTCCTGTATTGCCACCTTACCCTTACAGTCTATGAGAGAAAGGGGTCATTTGTTTATTCTTACCTACAGAGCTGAAAACCAAGGTGGTGAGGACACAGGTGGTGAGGAGGCTCTTCAGGGTTGAAGATAGAGGCATGGTGGCACTGCAGAAGGCCCAGGTGAGAGCAGAAGGGTCAGGGCTATGGGGTCCAGGTCTCTTGTCAGACAACCCAAGCACTATACAGGGTGCCCATGTATTCATTCATTTGTTTCACAAGTGAGAATTTGTCAAGCCCTCGCTTTATGCCAGATATGCCTCTTTTGGGGGATGTAAAGGTGAAAAGGATGCTATCTCTGTCATCAAGAGGCCCACAGGAGAAGGACCTTCCTTCCTTAAGAAGAATTCACATGAGGGATTTCTTTCTTGGATGGATATGGAAGGTGCTGGAGCTCCCTCCATAGCTGAAATAGGATTATTTAGCCAAGAAGAAGAAACCACTCTAAGGTCTGAGCCTGTCGTACTCTGAGACATATAGCCCCTTAGCCAAGGACCCCGATTTCTCAATTCCAAAGTCACCTTCCCCCAAAGAGCCAGTTCCCGCTGCATCTGTTACTCACCATCTCTCAAGACACATAGGTTCTCTAACAAAATGACAGAGCCAGGATTTGCTAGACGAATCCGGATATTCTTTCTAACCTTGTGTCATCAATGCTCCTTTCCAAAAGCCCATTTGAATTTTGCCAACTTAGGAAGGAAATTCAGCTTCCATGTCTTGTGGAAATCACAAGCCCCACTTACCTTCAGACTCGTCCTCCCAGGGGTCCGAGAAAAAGTCTGAAACATCACAGTGTAAGGACCAAGGAGTAGTTGGGGCCCCTCCACCTTTTCCTTCCTGAAGGCAAGTTTTCAGGAAATGACAAAACCTATTTCACACTCCGAATTCCAAGTCTCAACTTCCATAATTATCATAAGTTGACCTAAATAGTCTTAGAGACAAAAATATATATATGAAACCTGTTCAAGAATGACCTCTAACCTCATTCTGGTTGACCAGATGCCCAGAAACCCCCAAAGTCTTGGACTCTGGAGCTGTGAGGTGCAACACAGGGTCTTCCCATGCTTGGACAGGAAGAAGGATTGCCTCTTTTTTCACTATCCTCTAACTGAAATTTAGCCTTTCCTTCCATAAATGGAGTCCACAAACCACAGCAAAACCACCCACCCTTAGAAATTTCTGAGGTTTTCCTATCACATGACATCTGCAGACATAAAGTATTCTTTGCCTTCATCGACTACTTCCAGATTATGTCCTTATCAGTCCCCTGCTGGAGCCTGGTGTCTGATACATTAATAAAGAAGCATATTGCCTACTATTCCATACATTAGTAGAGTTATATAACTGTATTTCAATGTACAGTTGACCCTTGAACAGCAGGGGTTTGAACTGCACGGGTCCACCTATATGAGGATTTTTTTCAATAGTACTTGCTACATGATCAGCAGTTGATAGAATCCATGGATATGGAAGAGTGGATACGGAAGAACTAAGGATAGGGAGGAATCGCATATAGAGATGACCAAATATAAATTGTAGGCAAAGTTTTGCACGGAGAGGCAGCACCCTAACCCCTATGTTGTTCAAGGGCCAACTGTAATTATAATCCTATGTGGTTATATATGGAATCTAAAAAATAAAAATAAAAAAGGTTCTGAAGAACCTAGGGGCAGGACGGGAATAAAGACGCAGATGTAGAGAATGGACTTGAGGACATGGGGAAGGGGAAGGGGAAGGGGAAGTTGGGACGAAGTGAGAGAGTGGCATGGACTTATATATACTACGAAATGTAAAATAGATAGCTAGTGGGAAACAGCCGCATAGCACAGGGAGATCAACTCCGTGCTTTGTGACCACCTAGAGGGGTAGGATAGGAAGGGTGGGAGGCAGATGCAAGAGGGAGGAGATATGGGGATGTATGTATATGTATAGCTGATTCACTTTGTTATACAGCAGATACTAACACACCACTGCAAAGCAATTATACTCCAATAAAGACGTTAAAAAAAAAATCCTATGTGGTTTAATTGTTTTCATGAGAAGGGGTCCATAGCCTCCACCAGGCTGCCTGGGCCCCCTGTCACAGACGGTTGCCACCTCACTTCTGGAAGTAGTAAAAGCACTGTCTACCTCCCAAAGCAGAGCTCTGCCCTAATGCCCAAGAAGAAGGTGTAGCTCAAAGCTGTGCATTTTATGATTCTCTTATTTCCTCTGCCCATCAAACTTTTCCCTTTCTCCTAATGCTACTTGCTTATGAATTCCTGACCAACTGAGGTGCTGGAGACAAGGATAATTTCTGGCAGAGAAAGTGTGAGGCTGGGAGACCAAACTTATAGTGTGGTCTGGGATTAGAAGTTCACCAGTTAAATCCAACTACTGCTGTCATTCAATGATGCTGGCTGCCCACTCGGCCTGGCTCACAGTGTGGGCTGGAACTTGAAGCACAGGCCAGGCTCAGGAAAGCAGAGATGGTTGGGTGAAATGAGCCAGTTTTGTCATCACTGATGGAGAACCTTGGCCCCATCTCTCAACTCCAGGAGGACAGAGCAAGGCCTGGGACCACATGACTCTGTGCCAATGTCCTGCTTCTCAGGGTGGGTTCTCAGCAAACCCTTCAGGGCTGTGGTTACTGTGGGAGGGTGCCATAGGGCACACCATTCCTGGGGGGAACTCCTAAAGCATGGGAGTGTCCAGGTGTTCACTATCTTTGAGTTGTGGCCCCCACTCACCCTTGGTTTCAGAATCATCCTGCCAGCCTCCTTGCAGAGAGCCCACTCTCTCAAGTCAGCTGTGCTCATTCTTGTTACCAGAAATGATGTTATGTACCATGTCCCAGATAAAAACCATGTCATGAGAAATTATCCCCCTCCTATCAGCTCAGCTCCTGGGCACAGTTCTGAGAGGGACCCACTCCCTTTTCTCCCTGCCATGTGCTGAGCTAAGCATACACATGTGGGAGCCACTCACCCACCTTTTTGGCCCTCAGTTTCCCCCTCTGGAAAGTGGAGATTAGACCGAACCCCACTTCTTAGGTTAGTTTGGTGTGAGGGTGACATGAGCCCACTGTACTGAGAACAGCTGTTGATACCAGCATCAACTAGTATCTCCTTGTTTGTTCTCTTTACTCTCACAGATCAGTCAGCATTTCTTATGGAGCATTTGCTTCCTGACTAGGTCCCTGGATTGTTCCAGGGGTCAAAGTCTCCAAACCAGACCAGTTGGTTGCATGGCTACAGGGCAGCCTCTCTTACAACGCCAGTGAAGAGAAGGTGGCAGCCCCTTTATCCAGACATGCTGTGGGAGCCTCAGGCTGGAGGGGAGACCCTGGCCCACAGTGAACCCCAAGAAACCCCTTCCTGGGATAAAGTCTTTCTTACCTTGAGAGATTTCTTCTGGTCAGAGGAACTGGGCACCTGAGCCACAAGTCCCCAGTGGTCTGAATCAGAGGGACAGGGGGAGTACCGTGTTCCATCCCAAGAGGCACCTGACTTGTCAGAGCTGAGACCAACAAGGGCTGGGTGGTGAAGTGCTGATGCTCGTTCGGAGCTTGTAGTGGAAGCCTGGATTCCCCACAAGGCTGAGCACTAAGGAAGGGAACAGGGGCAGTGACTATGTCGCATTCCAAATAAAAACTAGACCCTGAAGAAGGGCTGGAGGAGAGGTGGAGGGAGGAACAGAGCATGGGGACCAGCCCAGTCAGTGACTGACCAAGAGGAGTTGACCCTCTATTTTTACTTGGGCTGGATTCTACCCTTTGGGTTCAGTGAGGGACTAGCACCCAGACCCTGGTTAAGCCTTCAAGATTTGAGACAGAAATGCCCAGGGCAGGTGGAGACAGAAGCTACAGAGGAATGGGGCTTCTGACAACACAAGGTGCAGGCAGAGTGAGTGGGCATTGTTCTGGGAGGAGGGACAGCTTCAGCAGGAATCAAACATCCTGTCCACCTTCCTGGTTTCTAGCTCTGTATTGCTCAAGGATGCTCGGTGTGACCAGAGGCTTGGGACACTGGGTGTCAACTCACCTTGTTCTTTCTTGGTATTGTCTTGCTGTGTGGTGTCTTTGCTCCAGTGTGTGACCGTCTGTGAAGAATTATCCCTGGACCCAGCCCTAAGCCCCTTGCTGACCACCGTGTGCAGTCAGGCAGCATGGGGGTGGTGTGGTCACAGTGATGCAAGACAAATGGCCACTGCCCCCAGAGCTTGAGCCTCAGGGCAAATGGCACCCGGGTTTGACCATCACCCCATGCATGAGAAGCCATTGTCATAGTCAAGTGAGATGTAAACACAGTCTCAGCCCTCAGATGCCTCCTCACCAGCCTGCCCTTCTTGCCATTACTGCCCTTGCTCTCATTCTTTATTTTCTGGCTTCTTCTCTTTCTCCAATCTCGGGGGATATCCGAGGTATCATCTGATCCTTTGATGAGGAAAATGCTGAAGTGAACATGTTAAGATCCTAGAGAGGAGGCCATCTGTGTGAGGCAGCTGGAACCTGCCAAAAGATCAGAGTTTCAACATGGCGGAGAACCCAACCAAGCAGTAGGAGATAGATGGATGGAGTTCCAGGGCTGCCACCTGGGACCTGTTTGACTTTATACTTTCTAGAGTCATCCAGGGTGCTTTGTCACTTTTGCTGCTTTTGGTGCCAAGAGATTTGCCCTTAGAAGCCCTGTCTCTATCTGCTGGCCATGAGGCTGGTGCTGAGTGGAATGAGAGTGGGAGGCCCAGGTGTGAATCTTGCTTATCCCTCACCACTCCCCGAGTCCACAGTGTTAAGGAAGATCAGAGACCATCCTACTTCCTGGTCTAAGGACCTCAGAGTCAGACAATCTGGGTTTACATCCTGGCTCTGCTGTGTGACCCTAGTCTAGTGACTCAACCTCTCTGTGCCTCAGTTTCCTCAATTATAAAATAAAGATAATATCGGAGTGATCTCATGGGGTGGTTGTGACGCTTACATGAATTAACATATATACTGCACTTAGAGCAAACGGTGCCTGTTTCACTGAGCAGCTAATGTTATCATTTATTAAGCAACTATTTTGTGTCTGAAATGCTAAGCAACATGAATAGGCACAGACCTTATCTTCAGAGAGGGAGGGTGAGAGGGAAGGAGGAGAGGGAAGCAGGTGAGGAGGTTCCCTGGAGATGAGGGACACCATAGGAGGATGCTCACCCAGCCCGGGCACTGCCCAAGAATAGCTAAGCCTGGTTGTAACAGGAAAGAACAACTCTCATTCCATATTAGATCTGTTTCTTTTACTTTAAACGTTGTATTCTATTGCTTTTGCTTTGAGCTAAGAATGTTGCCTAGGACTTCCCTGGTGGTGCAGTGGTTAAGAATCTGCCTGCCAGTGCAGGGGACATGGGTTCAAGCCCTGGTCTGGGAAGATCCCACATGCTGCAGAGCGACTAAGCCTGTGTGCCACAACTACTGAGCCTGCGCTCTAGAGCCCATGAACCGCAACTACTGAGCCCACATGCCACAACTACTGAAGCTTGCACACCTAGAGCCTATGCTCTGTAACAGAGAAGCCACCACAATAAGAGGCCCTCATACTGCAACACATAATAGCCGCCCCTCACCGCAACAACAAAGACCCAACACAGCCAAAAATAAATTAGTTAATTAAAAGAAAAAAAAAAGAATGTTGCCTATAGCCTAAAATATACAGGATAGCTTAGTCTTAAGGCTTTGACCTTTAAGAGTATAACATTTTTCCATTCATATAGAGATAAAAAGTTGCAGAACAGAGAATAACATTTGTCTTGTTAAAGGTTTACAAGAACATTGTGACAAAACCTATGTGGACAGCTTCAAGAACAAAGGATTCCTGCACCAAGAAGTTTGCAACAGCCAACTCCCCCACCCTCTGCCTTCCCCTTTTTAGCATAAAAGAAGCCTGAATTCTAACTGGGGTGGTTCTCTAGGACATTGGTCTGCCATCTTCTCAGTCTGCTGGCTTTCTGAATAAAGTCATTATTCCTTGCCCCAACACAGCTCATCTCCTGATTTATTGACCTGTCATGCGGTGAGCAGAATGAGTTTGGACTCAGTAGCATGGTAGGAGGAGCAGTGGGTCTTTCATGCGGCCCATGAGGCCTGACAAAGCCCTCCCCAAGAAGGAAGCAGGAGGGCACCCAGAGAGAACTGCTGTCTACTGCCCACAAGCCCAGGGATGTCTGGAGGCCAGGATGAGCAGCAGGTAGCACTGGGCTCAGGCCACCTCTGGGGAAGACCAGAGCTGACCCAGGAGGGAATAGTGGCATATTCACTATCCAGGTTTTAAACCTGTGGCTTCATCATCTGGGAAAAGTGATTGGGATGGGGACACTCATGAGTGCAGGTCCCTTGGAGCCAGATGCAGGAGCTGAGAGAGCACAGAAAGCAAAGCCAAACCCAGCTGAGACATCCTAGAAACAGTGGTCTGCAGCAGGCCCCGTCTCCACTATCCTCCTTGTCTGCTGTTCTCACCTCTCTCCTTTTATGACCCAGGCATATGAGGCTTCACCTGTAGGTTCTGAACAATGGCCTATTCTCTTCAGAAACTAAAAGCCAGATATCAGCAAGTCATATGCAGGTCAAGGCAGTGAGCAAGTTCTGTAAGGTTTCACGTTTCTTCAAGCTCTTTGATCATTTATATATTAACACCTTGACATTTTTGCTAAAAGTTTATGACAGTCTACATAAAACATATATATGTATAAAATTCATAAAGATACTGATCTTTATCATATTACGTTTACGTTATGTGGTGCAAAGTCTATTGTTTAACAATACATTTAGGAGAATATTTTCCCATCACGATACCATTTTTGGTTTGTTTTTTTGTTTAAAACAATACACATTTATTATCTTATAGTTCTGAAGGCTAGAAGTCCAAAAGAAGTTTCTTTTTTTAATTAATTTTTTTATTGGAATATAACTGATTTACAATGTTGTGTTAGTTTCTGCTGTACAGCAAAGTGAATCAGCCATACATATACATATATCCACACTCTTCTAGACTCCATTCCCATACAGGTTATTACAGAGCACCAAATAGAGTTCTCTTTGCTATACAGTAGGTTCTAATTAGTTATCTTTTATATTCAGTAGTGTGTATATGTCAATCCCAATCTCCCAATTTAACCCCCGTTTTCCCCTTGGTAACCATAAGTTTGTTTTCTACATCTGTGACTCAATTTCTGTTGTGTAAATAGGTTCCTTTGTATCATTTTTTTATATTTTACATATAAACAGTATCTTATGATATTTGTCTTTCTCTGTCTGACTTACTTCACTCAGTATGACAATATCTAGGTCCAACCATTGGATGCAAATGGCATTATTTCATTCTTTTTTATGGCTGAGTAATATTCCATGTTATATATGTACCACATCTTCCTTATCCATTCCTCCATCAATGGACATTTAGTTTGCTTCCATGTCCTGGTTATTGTAAATAGTGCTGCAATGAACATTGGGGTGAACGTGTCCTTTCAAATTATGGTTTTCTCTGGATATATGCCCAGGAGTGGGATTGCTGGATCTTATGGCAGTTCTATTTTTAGTTTTTTAAGGAACCTCCATACTGTTCTCCATAGTGGCTGTACCAATTTACAGTCCCACCAAAAGTGTAGGAGGGTTCCCTTTTCTCTACACCCTCTCCAGCATTTATTGTTTGTAGATTTTTTGATAATGGCCATTTTAACCAGTGTGAGATGATACCTCATCGTAGTTTTGATTTGCATTTCTCTAATAATTAGTGATGTTGAGCATCTTTTCATGTGCCTCTTGGCCATCTGTATGTCTTCTTTGAAGAAATGTCTATTTAGATCTTCTGCCCATTTTTTGATTGGGTCGTTTGTTTTTCTAATATTGAGCTGCGTGAGCTGTTTTTATAGTTTGGAGATTGATCCCTTGTCAGCCACTTCATTTGCAAATATTTTCTCCCATTCTGTGGGTTTTCTTTCTGTTTTATTGATGGTTTCCTTTACTGTGCATACAATGCCTTTAATTGTTACATAGACAAGTCACATAGCTTCCTTTCTGCAAGCTCCATGTGATGGGATTTCCATCTGCCTTGTTCACTTTTGTATTCTCAGCATCTTTGATGCTAGTGCCTGGTTAGTGCTCAGTAATATTGGTGAATGACTGCTCCTGTTATTCTTGATCTAAGAACACCAATTTTCTATTATTTGATGCTTCCTATTTAATTCTTGAAACATGTGGGAGACGTACTATGATGTGATGATACATTTCAACTTTTCAAATGTAAATAAGGCCACATTTCCTGAATTTAGCCTTTTCTTCCTTTAATAAACATTGATATTTCTCTGAAAGAAATATAAAATAAAATCAGTTTCCTGAATTCCTGAAAGGGATTGCAATTACCTTTTTACAATAAGGTTTTCCTTAAAGGTCCTGACTTTGTAAGTTGAACCCAGGCTGCATCCACTATAGAAGTGGCCCAGGTCTCCTTCTACACTGAGAGAGTCACAAGCACAGAGCTGTTCAGCTCCAGCTGTTCATCTCTACCCAATGACCACCTCCAGCCTGAATTCCCTTAGTAAACACACTCCTACACCCGTGACAGATGGGCCTTTTGTCTGGCAAAGCAAACACACAAATCTAAAATCTCCCCTCTCCTTTCATCAGAGTCTAGAAAATCTAAAAGGGCAGGTGCCATCTTATTCCAGACAGAACCCAAAGGAACTCAGGTACTTCGTGGAAAGACTTCTCTCTATAGAGATATAAGAAAGCAGAGGCAATACACACTCTCACATGCACTCATGCACACTCACATTCACACACTCATACACAGTCAGAAGATGAATTGGAAGGTAGGACTTGAGGAAGTCAGGGAAAACAGACCTTATGAAACAGGAAAACTTCATGAGATGAGAGAAGATCAATAGGAATAATGAGATGTAAAATGAGATGTTAACATATATATATATATGAAAGAGGGTGGGATGTGGTGTGGAAGCAGAGGGAGGGAAAGAGGCATCAGGAGGACCAGCCTTGCCCAACTATTATCCTTGACCACAGTACCAGCAAGGTGACTGGTAAAGAGGAAAATGTCTGACTGAAAAGATAAGTACTATTTCCATCAAGGCCTAGAATTACCCACTGTGCAAGTAGGTCCAATCAGACAATATCCAAATGGTTCAGAAAGCCACCAAGTTGATCTTTGGGTCCTTATAGGTCCTACAGCAAAATGTTCTGAAGCATCTGTGACTACAGTAGCCAAGAGCATGTTATGGATAACAATATCCA